GCCCCCCCCCCAGCCCCACCCCGACCCCCACCCCCAGCCCCAGCCCCATCCCCAGCCCCATCCTCAGCCCCATCCTCAGCCCCATCCTCAGCCCCAGCCCCATCCTCAGCCCCAGCCTCATCCTCAGCCCCAGGCCCAGCCCCATCCTCAGCCCCAGGCCCAGCCCCAATTGCAACTCCACCCTTTCCCCCTGCTAGTGGGTCAAGGCCTGTGTCTCAGGAGTCCAGCTCGGGTCTATTCAAGGCCTACCAAGAGGGCCAGATCTCAACCAGCTGGGGAAACCTTATTGCCATGGTTCTTAGAAGCCACCCCTTCCCCAGGCTAGAGGGGCCCCAAAGGAGTGTCCCAAAGTCAGTTTCTGGGAGCCTTCCAGATCTCAGCACACCCACACACCGTGAGGACAGGCAACCTGCTTCTCCTGAAGGGGCTGTCCCCCACCTAGAGGGTACGCATGGCTCTCCAGTGGGCACTGCTATAGGCACAGACACATGGGGTCTGGCTGATTTTGGATGTCAGCCACAGCCAAGATCTGCAACCAGTGGGGCTCCCATCCCAGGCCCTTCTCCAGGCCCCAGTGGAGAGGGAACCAAGGATAGTCTAGGCTCACTGTCCCCAGCCGCAGGGCCCAGGACTCCCTGGCAGACCTCTGAGCAGACACAGCCTATCCCCCAACTGTGGAAACGCAGCATGTGTGAACTAGCCCAGAGCTCTGAGACGGAGGTCAGTCAGGTAGCCTCAGGACAGCACCAGGAGGAGGCACCAGGGAAGGGAGTCAGCCCTGCAGGCAACAGGGGGCTGCTCACAGAGAAGCAGAAAGAGGCCCCCAAACTCATGGCTTTTCTGCAGAGACCAGGGAACTGGGGGGTGGTGGAAGGGCTCCGGAGGCCCAGCTCACGGGCCCCCAAGCCAGCCGAGGCAGCAGTTCTGCAATGGCCGCTGGATTTGGGCAGCTGCCTGGACGTGCTGGCCTTCGCCCAGCAGCGTGGGGAGCCCGGCCTGGCCCAGGAGGCGTACATCTCAATGAGCAATAACCTGTTGCGTGTGCTGGGGGACCCGCATCTCTACCGGCAGCTGAGTGGGGCTGACCGGGAGCGCATTCTCAGCCTGAGAACCAGCCAGGGCAAGGCTGTGCTGGGGGTCCTGGTGCTGCCTAACCTCTACCAGGTGAGCCACTCAGGGCTCCTGAGGGCCCCTTGTGAGGAGGAGGCTCCTGGGGCTGGTCCTGCGTCGCTGCCCCCTCGCACACACCTGCATGTGTTTAGCCCCCAGGAGAACACATGGCAGCGCCTGGTCCAGGTGCCTGAAGAGGCCCCACTCCGGGGCTGTGGTCTCTGCACTATGCACAACTACCTGTTCCTGGCGGGCGGCATCCGTGGTTCCGGTGCCACGGCCACCTGCTCCCGTGAGGTCTTCTGCTACAATCCTCTGACCAACGTCTGGAGCCAGGTGTGCTCCATGCAGCAGGCCCGAGCCCAGCTCAAGCTGGTGGCCGTGGATGGGCTGCTCTACGCCATCGGGGGCGAGTGTCTGTACAGCATGGAACGCTATGACCCACGCACCAATGCCTGGACTTCCCGTGCGCCCCTCCCTGCAGGCACCTTCCCTGTAGCTCACGAGGCTGTGGCCTGCCGTGGAGACATCTATGTCACGGGGGGTCACCTCTTCTACCGCCTGCTCAGGTACAGCCCCATGAAGGACACCTGGGACGAGTGCCCCTACAGTGCCAGCCACCGGCGTTCGAGTGACATGGTGGCACTGGGGGGCTTCCTGTACCGCTTCGACTTGCTTCGGGGCGTGGGTGCAGCCGTGATGCGCTACAACACCGTGACAGGCTCCTGGAGCCAGGCTGCCTCCTTGCCTCTGCCTGACCCTGCCCCACTCCGCTGCACTGTGCTGGGCAACACCATTTACTGCCTCAACCACCAGGTCACTGCCACCTTCACAGTCTCTGAGGGGACTGCCCAGTTCCAGGTACAAGAGCTGCAGCCCTTCCCCCTGGGAATGAAGGGGGTCCTCTGCCCATTTGTCCTGTTTTTGCCCTCTGAAGATGGGCTGCAGACTTCTCTCTGAGCCACTGACAGGGAAGCAGGGCTCTCCAGGGAGACCCTTTATTCCAGTGGATCTGGAAATGTGAGGAATGAAAGGGGGGGTGGGATCAGAACTCTGGACTCTTGTTTCTGGAACAACTTTCTGTTGTAATAAATCTCTTGTTTCAAAAGTTGTCGATTATGGGACCAGCAGTTAGCATCATGGCTATGTTGCTGAAATCCCAGGTAGTCGACCACTGTTCGAGTCCTGGACCCAGTGGCTTAAACTCATGCCAGGCGAATGTGCGTGTGTGCCCAAGATCCTGAGAGGAGAATGGAGGAGAAGGGATTATGACGTGGCCATCCCCCCTAGGGAGTGATTCCTCGCTGTCTCTCTGTCTCTCTCTGTCTTTCTGGCGAGTGCACATGCCCTATAGCAAAAACCTCTCAAAAAAAGTCAGTTATTTCTGGTCTTCCCTTTTGCTCCCGAAACCCGGGCTCTCAGCCTCCTTTCCCACCCTCTCCACCATACCCATGCCATGTCCTGGCCCATTTCTTTACCTAACCCAACCTCAATTGGCTTAGCTCACTCATACCCCCCTTCTTTCTGTGGACTCTCCAGGGGCCTGAAGGCAGGGATTGATGCATCCCCATGGACTAGAACTGGGCTCACTGAGGAGCTTGGCTGAGCCAGGGAAGAGGTGCCTGGAAGTCCACAGAGCAGAGGGAGCGTTCCCAGCAGATGCCCTCACCTCTGGAACTTTCTGCTTGTCCTGAGGCTTTTTGGGAGCTTGGCTTGGCTCCTCCTTGATACCAACTCATAGCTCTTGTGGGTCTGACTGGCTCTGTGGATTCTTGAGGACCTAGAACCTACGTGCAGTGGGTTAAATTGGTGCTGCTCTGCCTGTAGCCCCAGTCCAGACCTGGCCAGAACCACTCAGGCTCATGCCCTTCTGCACCCCAGCCCCTCCAGAGGCACATCCCACCTCCTGCCAGTCTGCTTCTAAATGAGACCCGAGTCTCACTCACTCTGCCCCACCTCAGTTGTGTGTGGTTGAACAGCACGTCCAACTTCCTTTTCCTAGTCGTAGAGCCTCTGTCACTGAGAGGAGTGGTGAGAGATGGGAGGCCACAACTGTGAGCACCTTGCATAGTGCCCAGGACACAGCACGATCGATAATGTGCTTTCTTCCTTGGCTCACTTCGAAACTACTTTGGGGAGGTAAATAAATTGCTGTGAATATTGCTGCCAACCTGGTTTGCCCCTGTCTGGGCCCTTTGTGCTCTTGCTCTATGCTTAGTGTGACTGGCACCAAATACATATTTACTTCACTGAAAGCATCTACATCTAACACTTGTTATGTGTTGTTCTCAAGGTTGGATGTAGTTGAGCTGGGCAGGTAGCAGTGTAGGACAGAAAGGGATCTTCTAGTTGTGCTTGAAAATGAGTTTACTGAGAAATAAGTATTGTGCATACAGCTATGTTTCCGGGTCACTGCCACCACCTCCTTCTGCTGTGGCTTCTCCCATGATCGACTGGGAGCACGGCTGCTGTGGTGCACAAGGCAGGACTACTGCTCGCGCTTGGTCTCAGCCAGCAATTCTTGCCATTTCTTCTCCATCTCCTCCTTGCAGTTGAGGAAGGCATCCTCCAGCCGGCGCATGGACTCTGCTAGTGTGGGGTTGGTACGCATCACCACCATGTCGTAGGCCATCCAGGTCGCCTGCACTGTAACAACCAGATGGGTGGGTCAGGCTCTAGGGTAGACTGCATCTTGAGGAGGGGCACATGCCTCCCACTGTGCTCACACTAGGGTTCGCTGAGACACCCAAGTGCTCTAAGGTGAGAAAGCTGGTAGGCTGCATGAAACAGGGCTCATAAAATCCCTGTAAAAATTCCTCCTGGCACACATGGGTAAGGACACTTTCTAATCTCATGCAAATCTTAACTTTTAGATATGTCAGCCCCTTACATTAAAACGCTGAAGGCAGGCTGGCAGTTTGAAAAATGTTAGCAGATAGTATGGTGGTTAAGGTGCTAGAGTCCTACATGCTTGACTGCAGTTGGAGTCCTGGACCTGGTGGCTTGAAACACTCCAGGTGCATGCACGTGTGTGACCAAAATCCAGAGAAGAGAATGGAAGAGAAGAGATTGTGGCATGGCCATTTCCCCCAGGGGGTGATTTCTCATTTCCCTCTCTCTGTCTCTCTCTAGCGAGTGCACACACCCTATGACAAAAACAAAACAAAACAAAATTGTGCATGTGCACAAAATCCCAAAGGGAGGGAGAAATGGAGGAGAAGGGATTGCAGCATGGCCACTATGGAGATGCTTTCTCACTCTCTGTCTCTCTCTCTCTCTGTCAAGCTTATGCACCCTCTGAAAAAACATTTCTTTTTAATTTAACTTCTCATAGTTCTAGAGACTGAGAAGTCCAATGTCAAAGTGCTGGCAGATCTGGTGTCTGGTGAGAAGTCTGTTACTGCAGATGGCCACCTTCCTGTCTAATACCTTAACCACCATCCTATCTGCTAATTCCTACCTTTTGTATTTTTCAAGCTGCTGGGTTCAGGACTTGAACTATGAAGCTGGCTGTGTAGGATTCAGTTGCTTTAACTACCACACCACCGCTGGCCCAAGTGTTTATTTATTTATTTTTAAGTTTTATTTATGTATTTATTTTGCTCTAGTGCACATGAGCTTGCCAGAGAGAAAATGAGAAAGCACTTCCTGGGGAAATGGACACATTATAATAACTTCTCCTCCATTCTCTCAGGATTTGGGGCACACATGCCCATACACTTGGTGTGGTTTTCAATCCACCAGGTTGGAATCATACAGGATTTGAATCATACCGTTGGCCATGTGGGATCTAGTTCTGTGGGGCCTTCACTGGCTGGCCCTTCAAGATTGTCTTTTTTTATTTATTTTTAATTTTCTTGCCATAGGGCATGTGTGCTCACGGGACACAGAAAGAAGGAAAGTGAGAAAATATCCCCCTCCCTCAAGGGGGATGGTCATGCTGCAATCTCTTCTTCATTCTCTTCTTGGGATTCTGGGCATGTATGCACACATGTCTGATGTGAATTTTAAGCTGTATGGTCTGGGACTCAAGCTGCAGTCGGCCATGTGGGAATCCAGTGCCTCAACCACCACACCACCTTCTGGTCCCCCAAGAGTTTATTTTTTAAGTCACCTAGTCTGTGGTAATGTATTATAGCAGCCAAAACAGAAATTGGTACCAGGAAGTGGGGTAATAAACACCTGAAAATGTAGAACCTGCTTTGGAACTGCTGGAAGAGTTTTGAAATTTATGCTGGAAGAAGATGATATTTATAGGTGACCCTGATGAGAAGTAAGAAAAAAAAGAAGGTATGGAGAGAAAACTTCCATCTTCTTAAATAATATGTAAATAATCATTAACAGAATGTTGATAGAAATATAGATGATAAAAGCTATTCTGAGGAGGTCTCAGATGGAAATGAGGAACATTTTATTGGAAACTGGAGTAAAGGCCATCCTTGTTATAAAGTGGCAAAGAACTTGGCCAAAGTGTGTTCATGTTTTAGTACTTTGTGAAGGTAAAACTTGTGGGTGTTGAAAGTAAGTAGTTAGCTGAGGGGCTTTGCTCAAAAAAGGGAGACAAAAAAAATTTAAGAGTTTTTGTTTTTGTTTTTTTGCCTTGGGGCACATGCATTCTCAAGAGAGAGATTAGACAGAAAGTAAGAGGAAAAGTGAGAAATCACCCTCCAGGGGGATAACCACACTGCAATCCCTTCTCCTCCATTCTCCTCTCGGGATCTTGGGCACACACGCACACATGCCCTGCATGAGTTTCAAGCCACTGGGTCTGGGACTCGAACCGTGGTTGACCAGGTGAGAGTTCAGTGATGTAACTACTACAGCATCTGCTGACCCCTGAAGGGAGAAATTCTCATTATGAAATAAATAATTGAGGTACTCAGGACAGAGGATGGGTAAGAAATTAGAATTCAGGGGAGTGGGAACAGCTCACAGAAATGAGTTTTGGGGCCAGCGGTTGGTGTAGTGGTTAAGGTACTGGATTCCCACATGCTGATTGCAGTTTGAATCTTGGACCTGGCAGCTTGAAACTCATACCAGGTGCATTTGTGTACATGCCCAAAATCCCAAGAGGAGAATGGAGAAGAGATTGTAGTGTGGCCTTCTCCCTGGGGGTGATTTCTCACTTTCTGTCTCTCTCTCTGTTGAGCACACCCACCCTGTAGTGAAAATCTCTCAAAAGAAAAATTAGAAATGAGTCTTATATAGTCCCATATAGCAGCTGGTGTCCTAACTCTGAGTTTCTTTGGCCAAAACAGAGAAGGAAACATGCTCAGTTACAGGATTCAGTGATGATAACATAAAAATAAATCCATTGTTTGAAATCTCTTTCTCCTAGGAGAAAGTTTTCCTATGAGTCTTCTTTACGAGAGATATGCTAAATTACCAATGACTTAAAATATGAGGTGGCCTTTGTATAGTCTGTAGTTGTATCGCGGTTAAAGAACTGGCAGTATGTCATCAAAGCACAGTTCAGAAGGCAGTTTAGGGCGCTCATGCTCAGTGTGGGGGTCGGCGGTCAGGGCAAATGTCTAGCAGGCCATAGGAGAAAGATGGCAGTGGAGTCTTGTCTTACCCAGGAGGAAATTAAGAATGAGCCCAAAAAGTCGATAGATCGTGAAAAGACATGCCTTCTCTTGCTATGGGTTTTCACTGATAACGATCACCACCACCAAATGGACAAGTTTTCCCGTGGAAACGTACCATACAGTGAGTTGCAGATCTACACTTGGATGGATGCAACCTTGAAAAAACTGACTAACTTAGTAAAAGAAGTCTACCCAGGAGCTAGAAAGAAGGGCACATACTTCAATTTTGCAGTTGTTTTTACAGACCTTCAAAGACCTGGCTATGGAGTTAAGGAGACTGGCAGCACCATGTTGGGCAGATGATTCCATGACTCTGCAGTCACAAAAGTTCCAAATAGGAGATTATTTGGACATAGTGATTACCCCTCCAAATCGGGCACCACCTCCTTCAGGGCACATGAGACCGTATTAAATTTTATTCACTATTTATTGAATTTATTTTTCTGTCAGTTATATAAAATTAATTTACATACTCTTTTTCCCTTCATTATTGCCATTAAGCCTTTAAATTCTAAACAAAGTGTAATGCATCTATTTAGAAGTTAAGTTTGGATGTGCTATGGTATGAATATTAACTGAAAGTCTGTATGTTTCAAGCCCTTCTGTAAAATATAAAGAAAAGTGCTCTTAGCATCATGTGTAAAACTATATTGTTAAATATATGTGTGCAATCAGCCTGAGTGTGACAGTTAATGGAAGCATGGGAACAGGGTTTATTCTCATGCTTGGGGTTCAAAAGAAAGCCATGAGATTAAATTGAGCCTGAGTTTTTGGTATAGACTATTATATAGTTAGAAAAGGGATCTGTGTGAATAAGGTAGTGGGCAGCAGAGGCATTTTGGACTATTAATAGTGTGAGCTGAGGCCAGCTGAAGCTCTGCTGGTCTCCCTTGATCAGGGTGCAGTGACTAACAGGTTAGAGAAAACAAATTCTGGTGTCACAGTGAGGGTTTTTAGGGCATTTTGAAGGCAGGAACAGTACAGAAGAAGGGAGAATTTCAGTTTAACGGTAGTAAAAGTTAACCTTAAAGATCTGAACATGGAGAGAGATGAAGAACCTTTTTTTTGGGGGGGAGGAGAGTTTTTTTGCTATAGGGCACATACACTCACCAGACAGACAGAGAGAGACAGAGAGACAGAAAGTGAAAAATCACCCCCCAGGGGGGTGGCCATGCCGCAACCCCTTCTCCGCCAGTCTCCTTTCGGGATCTTGGGCACGCACGCACACGTGCCCGGCGTGAGTTTAAGCCACCAGGTCCGGGATTCGAACCGCGGTCAAGTACGTGGGAGTCCAGCAACATAGACATTATGCTAACTGCTGGTCCCTACAGATGAAGAATCTTTTTTATTTATTTATTTATTTTTTGGAGAGATTTTCACTATAGGGCGCGTGCGCTTGCCAGACAGACAGAGAGAAACATAGAGACAGAAAGCAAGAAATCACCCCCCGGGGAGGATGGTCACGCCGCAATTCCTTCTCCTCCATTCTCCTCTCGGGATCTTGGGCACACACGCACACGCACCTGGCGTGAGTTCTAAGCCACCGGGTCCAGGACGCGAACCCTGTTAGACTACGTGGGAGTCCAGTGACATAGCCATTACGCTAACTGCTGGTTCCCAAGATGAAGAATCTTAAGACCAGGGAGAAGAGCCAAGAATGAGGTCGGGTTGAGCAAGTAAGAGATAACTTACATCCTGTTACGTGCTGGAGACAAATGTGTCTGATTTTAAAGGCATCGTAGTTAAGACCAGTAGGACAGAACATTTAAATCCTGATTGCACGATCTGCTCTGCAGCCTTGGACAAGTTATTTGAACCTATTTAAATTTTTTTTAAAGACAGAATTAATAGCCCATAGGATTCTGAAAATAAAATATATATTAAAAAAAAGACTGTGCCTGACAGATATAAACAAATACTAGTTACTAGCCATAAGTGAGTTGTAGTCAAAACTAGAACCCTGTGTTCCATAGCACCATTATATTCTCATTTTGAAGTTTATAAACAGTATGGCAGCATATCAGCCTAATTACCTTTAGTTTATTATAGTAGAAAACT